ATCTCCAGCATCATTTCTATTACCAAGGGCATTTTACCCAACGACTCATCCTTGCTCTTTGTTTTCAACCTTTGCATTCCAATTGCCAATAATTACCAATACACCCTGATTGCATGTTTGACCAATTTCAGACTAAAGAAGTTGGTAGGATTCTTTAATTTCATCAGCACTGGCTTTAGTGGTTGGTGCGTTAACTTTGAATAATAGCTGTATTACAAAGCGGTCTTCCTTGTAGGCCTATGGAGGTTATCCTATCACAGACAGTGTTGTACTTTTAGACCTTGATATATCATTTTTGATGATGAATGTGAAACCATTCCTCTTCAATTTGTCATTCCCAGCGTAGTAAATCATGTGATTGTCAGATTCAAAATGGCCAATCAATCCATTTCAGTTTACTAATGCCTAAGACATAGATGTTTATGCATTCCATTTCATTTTTGAGAACTTCTAATTTTCCTAAATTCATTCTTCATACATTCCAAATTCTGATTATTAATGGATGTTTACAGGTGTTTCTGTTCGACTTGTGCCCCATCAGCAAGTGAAGGTCCCTAAAACTTTACTCCATTCATGTCATCATGGTCAGCTCTACCTTGAGGAGGCAGCTTTTTCCCAATCATATTTTGAGTGCTTTCCAACTTGAGGGGTGTATCTTCCGGTAATATGACTGACAATATTATTTCTGTACCATTCAATATTTTGTCTATGTTGTTGTTGTTAGGTACAGACTCATACTGATCCTAGGTACAACAGAACAAAACACTGCCTGGTTCTGTACCACCTTCACATTTGATATATTTGAGCCCACTGTTGTTGCCACTGTGTCAATTCATCTTGTTTAGGGTCTTCCTCATTTTCACTGATCCTCCATTTACCAAGCATGATTTTTTCCTCCAGGAGGATTGGCCCTTTCTGATAACATATCCAAAGTATGAGACACAAAGTCTCCCCATCCTGGCTTTTAAAGAGCATTCTGGCTGTACTTCTTTATGATGGATTTGTTTGTTCTGGCAGTCCATGGTACTTTAAATATGCATCTCTAAAACTAACTTAAATGCATGACTTCTTCTATGGTCTTCCTTATTCATTGTCCAACTTTTACATGCATAGGGTTACTGAAAACACCATGGCTTGGGTCAGACGCACCTTAGTCCCCAAACTGATACTTTTTGCTCTTGAACATTTTAAAGAGATCTTGTGCAGATTTGCCTAATGCAATACGTCTTTGATTTCTTAACTGCTGCTTCCATGAGTGTTGATTGTGGAGCCAAACAAAATGAAGTTCTTGACATCTTTAATCTTTTCTCCATTTACTGTGCTATTTACTGATTCAGTTGTGAGTATTTTAGTGTTTACATTGAGTTGCAATCCATACTGAAGGCTGTAGTCTTTGATCTTCAGCAGTATTTTAAGTCCTGTTTAATTCCAGTAAGCAAAGTTGTATCATCTGCATATTGAAGGATGCTCTAGGTCTTCCTTATAGGTGCATAGATATTATCCTATCACAGACAGTAGTGTATTTCAAAATAGATCTTGGCATGTTCTTTTTCACAATGAATCTGAGGCTATTCCTCTTTGTCATTCTCGGAATAGCAACTCATATTGTCTATTTCAGGTCACTAACATTTGGTGTGGCACTGTAGGAAAAGCAATGGACTGCTAACCATAAGGTCAGTGGTTCAAATCCATCAGCCACTTCTTGGAAACTCTACATAGGGTCACTAGGAGCCGAAACTGACTCTTCGGCACTTAACACCAACAACGCCTAGGATACTGATCTGTATACGTTCAATTTAAATTATGATTTCTAAATTTTCCTGATTCAAACTTTCTACAGTTTTCTTTCCTACTATCAATGGATGTCTGCAGCTGTTTCTTCTCATTTTAAGTCACGCCTCATCAACAAATGAATATCATCAAGGCTTTGATATACACATGTCATTAAGATCTACTCTATTTTGAGGTATTAGCTCTTCTTCAATCTTATTTTGAGTGTTTTTCAACCTGAGTGGCTCATGTTCCAACAATATTTCAGGCAATGTTTTTCTGCCGTTTTAAGGTTTTTAAGGGCTAATTCCTTAGGAATAGACTGCTTATCCCTTCCTCCTAGTTTTTTTTTTTTTTTTGTCCGAAAGCTCTGCTGAAAACTATCCACCATGTACGACCCTGCTGGTGTTTAAAACACCACTGGCAAAGCTCCCAGAATGAGAGTAACACACAACCCACCACATATGCCAAACTGAGAGATGTGTGGGGACTATGCTGGATAGAACACATTTATTGATATAGAAGACAGCAAGGCTGTCTCTACTTGGTCACACATGTACTCCAACTGCAGAAAGTAACAATAACCACATGGTTGTAGGTATACTTGTTTCTAGAGGTCAGGAAGGAGATAGTTTTCAGTGGAGACTCATGACTGTTGTTGTATGAACCCACAGACTCACCCTGAATTTTCAGTGTTGGAATAACTCATTCAGTAGTTTCAGCAGGCAATTATATTTCCAGATATAGGAAGTCAACAGAAATAGCTAGGGTGAGGCAGGTAGCCCATGACACTAATCTCACTGAGAAAAGAGAAAACCCACCTACATTTTTGATCCAACTTATAAAATCTTTTTCTTTTCCTTTTTCTGACCTCTTCTCCCTTTTCTTTTCTAGTTATTCTAGTCTCTTAATGCTTTTTTCCTTTTAACTCTACCATGGCACTAAGGTTGCAAGTATGTGGCTCTTAGAAGTATACATTAGCCCTGTTCATGATTCTACACTTTACTTCTGCTCTAGTGTGAGAAGAAGCTCAAACTTCTGTTTTCAGTTCAGCCCTTTTATGTAAACCTCCATTGTTTTAGATTCACATCTTGAATTAAGACATCTCTAAAACACCCAGGGTAGTGCCAACAGTTAATGTGTGCGGCTTCTAACTGCAAGGTTGGCAATTTGAGTTTACCCGGATATGCCGTGGAAGAAAGGCCTGGTAATCAACTTTTGAAAAATCCACTGAAAACCCTATGACACACAGTTCAGTGAACTTCTCCAAACATCCGACCCATAGACATTAGTACATAATATTCTTGTGGTGCTGCAGGATAAGCACTGGATGGCTAACTACAAGGTCGGCGGTTCAAACTCACCAGTCGCTTCTTGGAAACCCTATACAAGGTTGCTATGAGTCAGAACTGACTTGATGGTATTTGACAACAACAACTACTAGTAAAATAATCCTACTACACATAGCAAAATCTCATGCAATAAGTTAAAATTAAATAAAAAATCAAAGAATGGACTTCATTCAATAAAAATTTAAATAAAAAAAAATCAAAGAATGGACTAAGCAAATAACAAACATGTTAGCAAGGGTGGTGAAGGTTCTTTTAAAGTGCCAGACTGAGACCAACTAACACTAAACCGTGATCCAAGCTATAAATGAGGAATGATGGCAGGCAAGCCAACATCTATCCCACTGCCATCAAGTCGATTCCAACTCACAGTTACCGTATAGGACACAGCAAAACTGCTCCTTATGGTCCTGAGAGTATAAATCTCTATGGGAGCAGACAGACTTATCTTTTTCCCATGGAATGGCTGGTGGGTTTGAACTGCTGGTCTTGCAGTTAGCAACCCAATGCTTATCCCATAGTGCCACCTGGACTGTTTATGATGGTTAAGCAGTATCTTATAAACAAACCTGTAAATGAGATGGGGAATCAAAGATAGAAGGTACAACTCCAGGTTTGAGTTTAATATTTGGAGCACTTCTATCAAAATCTGTCTTCTTAAAGTGCCTGGAACACAGCACATCTCCTTTTTTAGGCTCCCAAATACCTGCAGCATTCACATCAAGTCTTTTCATTGCCAATACCCATTTTCTTTTTATGTTTTCATCTGTGGGGAATCTAGACAAAAAAACATAAAAAACATAAAAAAATAAACATATAGTTAAAATAAAGCTGTCTTATTTAACTGACTAAATTGATGATGTAAGTAATTTATTATTATGATTGGGAATGGCAGTATTCAGGAAATCATCGTGATTGTTGCTACCATATCTCACAGTTTCAGTGTTTAAAGTACTCAGCCATTCATGTGACACTTCATATAATGGAAGACAAGTTTCAATGGATATGTGACACTTCATAGTAAAATCCACAATTGAAGATTTTTATTCATCTACAAATGATGGAGAGTATCACTTGGCCCTTTTCCTATATGAAGAGATATCTAGGCTTTACATCCAATGAAAAGCATTCCTTGTACTTCTGCTAGCAACAGAAAACTGCTTAGTACAACATTTAATATACAGGTCTATAAATGCTTAGTAAATGAATGAAGAAAACAGAATTTGGAGTTCTGGAGATCAAAACTATGTTGAGAGATCCAAGGCCAATGGCCATGTATTTTCCAATATTACAAGTTGGTTCAAATTTTTTTTTTGGAATAAGGTAGGATAACCATCTTTTTAATTTCCTATCATCTAGTAAAGTAGACACCAGATCTTTCTCTAGCAGACAAAGCACAATGTCTGGCACAGAAGCAGCAAAATAAATCTTTATCAAATAAATAATGATTAAATCTTACTAGTCCTATGGTTGTCAGAATGTAGCTAAAATTTGAAATTAGGATCACCTTGATCTATATCTGCAATATTTGCTAAAGAACCCTTAGTCTGAATTTTCCATTCATATTTTCCCCTTACAACCAAAGTTTGAACTATTTCTAAATAGAAAGTGCAAAACATACTCAGGCAAAAATCATCCAGATTATAAACTACATGTACACAATATTGAGTTTCTTGGAAGTTTATATTAAAATGTAAAGTCATAATATTGCTAATAGTGAAGTTTGACATTTTTGTAAACCAGCCTCTGGCTCCTCCATATCTTAAGTTTTTTAAACTAATTATAAAAATGCAAAGGTATCCCAGCTGCATTAAATTAACTAAGATAATAGTAATAATAATGGTTATTTAAAATAACAGGAACTAAAATCAAAATAGAAGATTTAAGGATAAGTTTTTGTTGCTTTTAAATAATAGTCAAAAGTACTAGGCTTACACGTGAAATGTCAATCCTTTTAATTTGGAATTTGGCAAACAGCGGGACGCACATCCAATGGCTGAACAGCATTTCACCATGATTTTAGCAACTCATAACAGAACTGAAAGAAAATTAAAATGGCAAGTTAGTAAATTCAAAGCTAAAAAAACCCACATTTAACCTTTCCCAGTATGTTTTGGGAAGCGTGAAATCATTATGCTAGATTACCAAAGGCATATATTTTCTCATCAATTTTATGCTTTGCTCTTAACATTTTCCACCGGCATAGTTCTTTAATAAACCCAAACCAAATTCACTGCCATCGAGTCCACTCCGCTCACAGCCATCCTAGAGGCTGCCAATCTTAAGGGAGCATTTAAAATCCCCATCTCCCAGAGCTGCACTTATTGCCAACCTTTTGGTTAGTAGTCCAGTGCTTGCTCAACAGCACCATCCGAGTGGATTAATAAGCAAAGAATTCTTTAGCTATACAAGGAGACTTCAAACTGTGGAAAATGGAACGAATACATAACGGAATTTCCCCACAGCCTTCATATACCTTGAGGCGTCTGATTTCTTATTTGTTAGGTTGTTCATTTCCTTTTCACCGGTTTTTGAAAGTGTCACTGTCCCTCCAGCCACTAGACCTCTGCACACACCTGGCACGCATCTAACTGCTACGTTCCCTGTTCCCTTCAGTTCTCAGCTGGCATAGCTTCCCCAGGAAAAGCTTCCGCGACCCTCCGATTGAGTCCTAATACGCTCTTCTAGAACACAATCTAAGCGCCCTTTCCTATCACTCTTCCAAGTTGTACCCTTAAGTTTACTTCAGTGAGTCTCGGATGGATGAATGTTTTTCTCCCCTATCAGTCTCAATCCCAGGAGACCACTGTGGGGAGTGCTCCTTTCCTCGCTTTTTATCACTACGGCATAGCTGGGGATTGACAATGGTAAGTGCCCTTGAGTCGATTACGACTCGTAGCCATCCCACAGAGAGGGTTTCCAAAGAGCGGCTGGTGGGTCTGAGCCGTCAACCTTACATCAGATGTTAATATATATTTTGAAGGTATGAAGAGCAGGTAAGTAAAGGGACGAGGTTCACTTTTCTCTGAGGTAGAAGCGGTACGAGGAGCTGGCCAGTGCCCAGGTGTCCATCATCAGCGTGCGCTCTCGCACCCGCTGGGAGCCCAGAGGCTTGGCCGAGCTCCGCCCTTTCTCGAGGCCCCGTACGCTCGAGGGGGGGGGGCAGAGGGAGGGGCCGCCCGGTCCCAGGTACAGATGAGGCCGGATAGCGTCCCTTTCTCAGCAGGGGCTGCCAGGCGTCTTCTGGCGCTGCGGTCTTCCTAGCTCCGCGCTACTCCCCGGGACTTGGGCGGGTAGCGATGGGGGGGAATAGAAGAGGCAACCTAAGAATTATTACCGTTAGCAGCGAAGACGGCAACTAACGTCGAGAACAGAGATAGCGCCTCCTTCGCTTCCGCCCCGTCACCTACGAACCGGAAATCCGGCTGCCCCGGGTCACGTGCTTAGGCGCCATATTGGCTCGGCTGGCTGGGGCAGCGGGAGGGGGTGTGCTACAGTGGCTCTCGATCTCGGGGCGTGGTTTTCATCCTGGGGGAAGGGTCGGTAGAGTGTGAAGGGAGGTGGAGGAGATGGCGGCGACGGCGCGGGAAGATGGCGCCTGCGGAGAAGCGCAAGGGCGGCGCGGCTGCGAGCATTATGACAGAGGATGTCTCTTGAAGGTGACGGCTTCAATGGGCTCTTCCCCGAAGAGCCTCCGCCGGGCTGGGCTGAGGGCGGAGTGGACCAGGTGGTAGGCAGATGGGCTTAAGTTTGAGGCTGGGCTGTCTGTTGGGACACCTCCCTCTTCCACCTCGAGCTGAGTTCCTGTCGTAGAAAAACGTTTGTAAGAAGGCAGCCATAAGCCCCAATTTTCCTTTCTGCTTTGTATCTTGCAAGCAAAGCTCTTTTTTGCTTGGGAAGAGCCTGAAGCAACTCCGGGCCTTTCTGGCTTTCTCGAACCCAGAACCATCTCCAGGTGTATGATGAAATACTGAAAAGGGGATAAACAAGTGAAGAGACTCGTACGATTTCAGCTCCTGTAGTAAGTTTTGCAGACTGCCAGCCCCATTTCAGAATCAGTTGATGTGTCTAAAGCCTGCCAAGGAGAAAATGGGAAGACAAGCATGTAATTGGCATTAACTAAAAAGTTAAGTATAGGTAGGTGAGTGCCTTGTAGGGATAAAGAGGTGCATGTGTATTACTTTTGCTGTTGAGAAAATTACCTTGAGAAAACGTAATAGTGAGTTTAGAGTTTTAAAAACTGGCATCCACCCAAATTGACGTTTTCTGATTTGCCTTGCAAGAAGCAGTATAACGAATTTATTTGGAAGCGTTAAATTCTCATAGCCCTTAGTTACTCTGATTTTGAGCAAGTAACTCCCTGTTTGGAGAATGGGGATGGTAGACGTTCCTGCTTCATAAGAAAGGTCTGAGGATTAAATGCATGTGTGGTGTTTGTTGTGTGGTATCCCATCATTTCCTACTCACAGCGACCCTGTGTTGTTGTTGTGAAGTGCTATCGAATGGGTTTGGATTCATAGCGATCCTGTTATAGGGTTTCCAAGGAGCGGCTGATGAGTTTGAACCGACGACTTTGAGGTTCAAACCGACCTTGTAGCCCAACGCATTAGCCCCACAGCACCATACCACCACCCTATAGTACAGTTGTTGTTAAGTGCCGTTGAGTCTGTTGTGACCCATAGCGACCCTGTCCTGCATAGGGTTTCCGAGGAGTGGCTATTGCGATTCACATCGACTTTGCAGTCCAGCGCAGTTACCCTTAGCAGCACACCAGAAGAAGTGGGCTAAGTGTTGGGCTGCTAACTAAAAGTTTGGGATTTTGTCACCACTCACTGATGGGGGGAAAAGATGAGGCATTCCTCTTTAGCCTCTTCAGTAAAGATGCACAGCCTTGGAAGCCCTTTGGGAGCAGTTCCACCATGTCCCCCAGGTTCACTGTGAGTCAGAATGAACTTGGTTGATTTGGTTAATCTTTACAGAAGGGTGTCATACATATTTCTCTTGCAGAAGGCCACCAGCCACTCAGTTTGCAGATGAGTGCTTAACCTCTGTGCCCCAAAGGCTCCTTATACAGTGTTTGTTGTTACTGTTAAACGCGGTTGTGTCCGTTCCAACTTTTAGAGTATAGAGTTAACGAGCCTTCAAATCTTTGCTGGAGCGGAAAGTCACCTCCCCCCCCCCCCCCCCCCCCCCCAGCAGCTGGTGTGCTCAAACCGCCAATGTTGTGTTTTGCAGTCCAGTGCTTAGTGTATGAAGCTGTAAAGTGTTTAACAGGGTGTACATTCCTTAGAGTAAAAACCAAACTCTTTGCTCTCCAGTCCATTCTGACTCATAGCAGTCCTATAGGACGTAATGGAACTGCCCTGTAGCATTGTCAAAGTTGGAATCTTCACTGAAGCAGATTGCTGCATTTCTCCCAGAGTGGCTGGTGGCTTTGAACCACTGATGTTATGGGTAGCAGCCAAATGCTTAACTGGGATTTCCCCCCTGGAGTGAGTAGTAAATTACCATCATCTTCATACTTCACCAATCATCCCTGGTAGTTACTGACCAAAATCATTGGAAGGAAGTGATAGTTTCAAGTTTATATGAACAACCTAGAGCTTTTTTGTAGATCATGGTTTGCTCCATCTTACTGGAGCAAAGTTGGTCATTAACCAAGTGCCATGTAAAGAAATTTGAATGCTAGCCTTACGATTCCATATCTCCTGAGATGTTCTGTTATTTCAAACTTGAAGTGTAAAACAATTCAGCAGCCTGACCTCTCCCTCCCACCTAAGTCTTTCATTGGAAATCATGCAAGATACTTGACTCAGTGTCGGTTTTTAAATTTTTTTTCCCCCTCTGTGATGCTGTAGGATAAGCACTGGACTGCTAACCTTGGAAGCCCTATATACAGGGTTGCTATGAGTTGGAACCTATTCAACGGCACGTACCAACAACAATAACCTCTTCCTTAACTACCAGAGAGGACAAGTGAAGAGCTTCAAAGAGGAGTGATCAACTGCTTCAGATGCAGCCGTTTTAGTAAAGGGGAATGAAAAATATACTTTTAATTTGGCAAGGAGAAGGTCACTGTTGATTTTGACAAGTGATATTTCAGTGGAAAGATGGAAAATGCCTAATTGGAAAAGTTCAAAAGAAAATGAAGGAGCTCTGGTAGCGTAGTGGTTACGAATTGGGCTGCGAACCTTAAGGTCAGCAGTTCGAAACTACCAGCCGCTCCGCGGGAGAAAGACGAGGCTTTCTACTCCCGTAAAGATTTACACCCTTGGAAACCCTGTACAGGGTCGCTATGGGTCGGAATCGACTCGGCGGCACTTCACAATCAATCAATCAGAATTGGTGATAGTACTTTCAGACAATTCTTGGAGTTCTGCTTTAAAGGGGAGCTAAAACAAGTAGCTGTGAGATGTGGGAGCATGGAATTTTTAATTTTTTTAAGGATGGATGATGTTGAAGTACCATGTGTATAATTTTGGTAATGAACCAGTAAAGTGGGACCATTTTCTAATGCGAAGGGAGAGGGGAAAGATGTAGGAGCATTGTCCTTGAGTAGTCAGAGGGGAGGGTGGAATCCAGTACACAAGTGGTAGAATGGAGAACTGTAGACTCTTTGTAACAAATGGGGAGGCAGTGAGGTACATTTGCAGGTAGACTTCTAGAGTTTGTAGGCAAATGTATGGATGTTCTGTTTTGATTACTTCTATTTTCTTAGTAAATAAGGTCATCAGCAGAGTGCAAACAGAGCTTTGGAAGAATGAGGGTACTGACTAGGAAAACATGGGAGTAAGGGTCCACATTGTATTACTGATTACGACTTTAAAGTAAAGACCAGTAAGGAAAGTAGTACGTTTTTGGTAGTCATATTCAACCTTACCTGTATGGGCAGAGTAGAAGAGAGATGGATTTAATGAAACTTTGAGTTTTGCTAGGTGAGTATGTAGATGGAGAATTGATAAGGACGGTAGAGTGCATGCAAGAGGAGACTTCATGTTTGAAATTGAAATACAAAGAGGGTGCAGTTCTTGTTCTAGAGTAGCTATTCTCAAAGTGTAATAAATACAGCCCTAGAGGGCTCTGAAACTCTGGGGCTCCTGTAGGTCAAAGAATTTCATGATAAGATAGCACACTATTCGTCTTCTTCAGTGTGTTGACATTTGCATGGATGGTGCTTGAAGTAATGATGTGCAGAACTACTTTTAGCATGAATCAAAGCAAATGTCATTGGTTAAGCAATATGATTATTGATTTATAACATTTTAGTTCTTGAATACATATCTTTTAAATATTGGATGAAATAAGTTTTCATTAAGCACTTATGTAAGTGGAACTGATTGTTTTAAGAAAAACACTTAGGCAATTGAGTTGTGAGCTGAACAGGTCACGGTTTTCACCAAGCAATGTTATTATTATTTTTTTCTGTTTGAAATAACTATGATTATTCAGATCTGGATATTTAGCAGACTGCCTCTTCAAGGCAAACAGTATGATAAAACTGGAGCTTTTTTCCACAGACAGAATTTTGGAAAACTTTACACAGTTAGTTATTTTGAGCTTGAAAATGTCCCCAGTATCTAAAGATTTTCCTGGTAGGATGAGTAGTGCTGTTAATGAATATGATTTTTGGATATTATATGGTAATGTGAACTTTTGGAAGATCTGTACACACTGTGGTTTCCTGTGTATAACTCGCTTGTGAAAGTAACACATACATGCATATAATACACGTTGTTGTTGATAAGTGCCTGTTGAGTTGACTCCGACCCGTAGCGATTCTGTATCGAGTTTCCAAGGAGCAGCTGGTGAGCTTGAACCACCAACCATGCAGTTCAAAAGACATTGCACTCTGGCGCATTAGCCCACAGAGCCACACCAGAACAAATTATGCTGTTTTCGTTTAGAAATTAGGTAACTCAGTGAATCAGTATTTTCCAAATGACTAATGCGTTTGTAAGATATTCGTACAAAGTGCAAGATACACCAATGGATGTTAATGTAAAAGGCAGAAAAGGTCATTGATATGAATTTAAATCCCATGTTTCAGCTGACCTGGAGAAAACTACTGCTTGACTGAGTTTTGGTCCAGATAAGAAAATATCCATAATTATCTGAAAAGGCTATTAAAAATACTCTTCCCTTTTGTTAGATTTTTGTGAGAACACAGTTTCTTCATATACTTTAATCAGAGCAACATAAAACTGATTATAGAAGTAGATACGAAAATTCAGCTGGTTTTGAGAAAATAGAGGGATTTTTTTTCACCAAAATGTGTTATTTGGTGGCTTGTTTTAAGCAGAAGTGATATTAAAAATTTTTAATCAATTTTAGTTGGTAACATGGTAAATATTAATAAATGTAATCTACATGAACACAAATCCTGTGGGGTCCTTAATATTTTTTAAGGGTATAAAGGGGTTCTGAGGCCAAAATGTTTGAGAATCACTGTTCCTTCTACTCCTATGAGATGGAATCGACTGGATTCTTTGCGTGACTGTGAAGAATGTGTGTTTGAGGGAGGGAGGGAGGACAAGACCACTGGAAGTAAGAAAGTCAAAGAACTAAGAGTTCACGGTATTAGGAGGATGATCAGGTGGGTGTACAAATCACTAAGAATTAGGACAGGAAATCCAGTTAGGAATTACAATCTTTAAATAATTTAACTTTGTATATTATGGTAAGTTATACTATAAAGCCCACT